ATAAGGAAGGACCCACTCCAAGTTGGGTACCTAAACCTGTTTGATTGTTTTGCAGGACGGTCATGTGTGGCACTTAGACTCAGGATGCTCAACCCACATGACCGGAATAAAGCACCTTTTGAGCAACTACACCAACTGCTACGGAGGCAATGTCAAATTCGGGAATGACGCCTCATCTCCTATTCTTGGGTATGGGGACGTCGTCTGTGCCAGTGTCACTATAAAAGACGTTTCATTTGTCAAAGGGCTCAAACACAACTTACTGAGCATAGGGCAATTCTGTGACAGCGGAATGGAAGTGAGGTTCTTTGCAAAACAATGCTGTGTTCTTGACAGCACAGGGAATACATTATTAATGTGTTACAGAACATCAAATCTGTACATTATTGATCTGAAAAGCGTCCAATCCACCACTTCCATCTGTCTGTTGTCCAAAGCTTCAACTGAACAGAACAACCTATGGCACAGACGTCTCTCCCATCTGAACTTCAAACATCTATCAACCTTGTCCTCCAAGAAACTTGTCAAGGGGCTTCCTCTGCTAAAGTCTTCCGCTGAAAATCATTGTAGTGCCTGCAAAATGACGCGAAGCTCCCACAAGTCAAAAACCGAACCATCATCTACACATCAGTTGCAGCTAATTCACATGGATCTGTGTGGACCAATGAGAGTCCAAAGCATCAATGGTCGCAAATACACTCTGGTGATCGTTGATGACTTCTCTAGGTATACATGGACAAAATTTCTCCGTTCAAAAGGCGAGGCTGCAGAAAATATTATGACCTTCATCAGAACCATCCAGAAACTGCTACAGCACAGTGTTCGAATTGTTAGAACTGACAATGGTACCGAGTTCAAAAATCAAACTCTCACTGAGTTCTATGAATCACTCGGTATCACTCAGCAATTTGCAGCAGCTAAAACTCCCCAACAGAACGGAGTTGTTGAGAGAAAGAACAGAACCCTTGTTGAAGCAGCACGCACCATGTTAATCCAATCCAGACTGCCTCACTTCATGTGGGCAGAGGTAATCAATACTGCGTGCTTCACTCAGAACAGAACATCCATCCATAAACGCTTCGACAAGACTCCATATGAAATCCTATTCAACAGAACTCCCAACATCTCTTTCTTCAAGGTTTTTGGCTGCAAGTGCTTCATACTAAATGATCGGACAGAAAGAAGTAAGCTAGATCCCAAAGCCAGAGAAGGCGTGTTTATTGGCTACTCACTGCAATCCAAAGCTTACAGAGTCTACCTCAGAGACAAGCGTACTGTCATCGAGAGTGTAAATGTTACATTCTATGAAATGGCAGACTTCGCGATCGAACATCTACAGACTGATCCATCAAATGTTGTACCAGTAGCTTCTGATAAAGCTGAACCAAACACTGAACACGAAGATGTGATTCTCGACTCTCTCTTCAGAAACTTCTACGAGAACTCACAACCTCCACCTCCTGCATGCACTCCAGCTTCAACATCAACTCCAACAGCAGAGATTCCGCTCCTCACAGGACCAGACGATGTACCATCCACACCATCAACCCCTCAAACCAATCCCAAAGGTGTGGATGATCACGGCTTTGCTACGAGTCCAGAATCATCTCCATTACACACCACAGCTGCTCCAGAGCCTTCAACCTCGGATTCGGATCAACCAATCATTACTCCAACTCCTCTAGCTCATGAGAGGAAGTTGACAAGAGCACATCCCGTTGAACAGATAATAGGTGATCCGAGTCAAGGTGTGCGCACAAGATCCGCAACGATGAATGAATACCATTTCGCATGCTTCCTTAGCCAGTCAGAACCATCAAAAGTCTCCGATGCGCTACTTGATCCAGATTGGGTGATTGCTATGCAAGATGAACTCAATCAGTTTGACAGACTGGATGTATGGTCACTGGTACCCAGGCCTCAGAGAAAGACAATAATTGGCACGAAGTGGGTTTTCAAAAATAAAAGAGATGAAGAAGGAACAATTGTAAGGAACAAGGCAAGGCTGGTCGCAAAGGGATATAATCAACAGGAAGGCATAGACTACGATGAAACGTTTGCGCCCGTATCTAGAATTGAAGCAATCCGCCTCTTTCTTGCATACGCGGCGCACAAAAACTTCACCGTCTTTCAGATGGACGTGAAAACAGCTTTTCTAAATGGGACTTTAGAAGAAGAAGTCTATGTCGCTCAACCAGAAGGATTTGTAGATCCAAAATTCCCAGACCATGTATACAAGCTCAAGAAAGCTCTCTATGGGTTAAAACAGGCACCCAGAGCTTGGTACGATGCCTTGACCGAATTTTTGATCGATTCAGGTTTCTCAAAAGGAAAGATCGATACTACTTTGTTTATCAAGCGACAGAAGTCTGACATCATCCTGATTCAGATCTATGTTGATGACATCATCTTTGCCTCTTCAAATCCGCGCCTGTGCCAACACTTTGAGAAACTGATGAAAACAAAGTTCGAGATGAACATGATGGGCGAACTTAACTTCTTCTTAGGCCTGCAAGTAAGACAACTCTCTGATGGCATTTTCATCAATCAGTCCAAATACATTCTGGATATGCTAAAGAGATTCAACATTGAAGGCAAATCTTCCATGACGACCCCCATGTCCCCAAACAACAAACTGGACTCAGACCCCTCCGGGAAGCCAGTAGATGCTACGAATTACAGGGCCATCATTGGATCTTTGCTTTATCTCACGTCAAGCAGGCCTGACATTATCTTCTCCACATGCTTATGTGCTCGCTTTCAAGCAAATCCGAAGGAATCTCATCTGACAGCTGTACGACGAATTTTAAGATACCTCAAAGGCACTGTGAATCTAGGCCTTTGGTATCCCAAGCATTCAGGCTTCGATCTAGTCGGATACTCGGATGCTGACTTTGCTGGTTGCCGGATGGACCGCAAAAGTACATCGGGAGCCGTCCAATTCTTGGGCGAGAAGCTAGTATGCTGGTCTTCCAAAAGGCAAAACTGTGTGTCAACATCTACAGCTGAGGCCGAATACGTCGCGGCTGCTAGTTGTTGTTCACCAATATTATGGATGAAGACTCAGCTGCAGGACTACGGTTACACATTCCGCCACATCCCGATCTACAGTGACTCTCAAAGCGCCATTGCCATCACAAGCAATCCGGTTCACCACTCCCGCACCAAACACATTGATATGCGCTATCATTTCATCAAGGATCACGTGGAGAAAGGAGACATAGATATGTACTTTTTAAGCTCAGAGCTTCAACTGGCTGACTTGTTCACTAAGGCATTGGATGAAAAAAGATTCCAGTTCCTGGTCTCCAAGTTGGGCATGTTGAACCTCGAGCCTGTTTAATTTTTGTCTCCACTGGTCTGAAAAGTGTGTGTGTGTGGGACTTGTAAATAGTGTGTGTGAGTGTGATCTGTAAATAGTGTGTGTGCGTTGCATGTGTTGAGGGGGAGAAAACCAGAAAAATAACAAAAAATAGTGTGTGTGCGTTGCATGTGTTGAGGGGGAGAAAACCAGAAAAATAACAAAAATAGTGTGCGTGTGTTGCATGTGTTGAGTGGGTGAAAAATCAAAAAGAACAAAAAATAGTGTGAGTGCGTTGCATTTGTACATATTGTTTGTTGCATTTTTTGGGGGGGAGAAAATTTTCACTGATTGAGGGGGAGCTCTATTTTTTACTGGTTTGGGCCTCGAAAATCTTTTAAAAAAGGCACTGTATGCCAGCCCAACAATTCGGGCTCAATTGTTACGGAGGAGGTCCAAAATTTGTTCTCGCGTATATAAGCCCCAATCGGAAACCCTTCTCTCCATTCTCAAAATCAAAGGCCAAAAATCTTTTCGCAAAGGCAGAGCTCTCAGAACCTTCGTCTTCCCAAAAACCTCCGTTTTCGGATACCTTCTTCTTCGATTCTCTTTCCCGAAACCCTTTAAGTTTAAAATGGCAGGAAACACTCAAACGCAGATCGATGATGCCATCTACCCCAAAGGGAAATGGATCAAGGTGCTGGACAACAATTTCCAGCTAGACCTTGCGGTGTTCAAGTGCCAGAACCCCATAGTGCCAGCAATCATGAAAGGTCACTATCTCTGGCCTGCACTTCACAACTCAAAACCGGTGCCAGAGATATACCTACAACAGTTCTGGGGTCATATGCACACGGATTCACTGAAGGATCGCTCCAAGATCAAGACCAAGTTGAACGGCATGCGGGTGATTCTGACACCATCCACTCTACGGACTACTCTATCGCTGCCGATTCATGACGAGTACGATGCACTGCCGTCCATCCCAGATCTACTGAAAGACGTGGCGTCCCTAGGCTACACCTCACTACTGCCACAGCTCTCCAACTTCAACGGAGCATATCTTCACCATCCGTGGAAAAATCTATTCAGGCTGGTGAACAAGTGCGTGTCGCCTAAGCATGCTGGCTTCGACAAGTGCAACAAGCAGATACTGCTAGTCTTTCATGGCATCGCCTTCAACAAAAACTACGACTTGGCACAGCTCCTCTTCTCAGAGCTAATGGACCTGGTCAAAGCCAAAGAAAAGAACAGGCCAGGTACCATCCCGTACGCAAGGTGGCTCGGGCTGATCATACATGACTGCATGGAAGAGCACGCTTCAATACCAAGACGCAGGACTGATCCTCACTTCACCTCACCGAAGCTGCAATACTTTAAAGCAGACAAGAATCCTACCTTCGGTCTGAGGATACCTGAGTTTCTGCTCAAACTTGTTAAAACGTCAAATCCAGCGGTCCAGCAGTACAAGGAAGCCACTGAGAGAACTATCCCTATGGTTCAGCAAAACCCAACTGGACCTACCCCTGGGACGAAGCCGAGTGTTAGTAAGGGTCCAAAGAGAGCCCAAAAGCCACAGAAACCAGTGGCCGGTTCGCATCAAAGGAGTTTTATCAATTTTGTGAAGATAATGGCATCCGCCGTCCCATGACTGTCCCACGAACACCACAACAAAATGGTGTTGCCGAAAGAAAGAATAGGAAGATCCTCAACATGGCTCGAAGCATGCTAAAAACAAAGAATATGCCTAAAGATTTTTGGGCTGAAGCTGTGGATTGTGCTGTCTATCTTCAAAATCGCTGCCCCACGAAGAGTCTCGATGGAAAAACTCCACAAGAAGCATGGCATGGAGGTAAACCTGGAGTCTCACACTTGAGAGTATTTGGATGCATTGCATATGCGCATGTACCCGATCAGACTAGGTCAAAACTTGACGACAAGAGTGAGAAGTTTATATTCATTGGATATGATAAACACTCAAAAGGGTACAAACTCTACAATCCGGATTTGAAAAAGCTTATAATAAGTCGTGATGTGGAGTTTGATGAAGAAGGCTTATGGGATTGGAGCATTGGTGACAAAGAAGATTATAGTCTCTTGCCTCCCATGGAATATGAAGAAGAAGTTGAAGAAAATCATGAAAATACAACTCCTCCACCATCTCCCACTCAAGCTCAAGCTTCATCACCAAGTTCGGATGAAAGAGAAATACCACGCATGAGAAGCATTGAAGAGCTTTACGAGGTAACACAAAATTTGAACTCAAATGATGAACTTACACTCTTTTGTCTATTTGGTGATTGTGAGCCACTAAGTTTTCAAGAAGCCACAAGAAACAAGAAATGGAGAGATGCAATGGATGACGAGATCAAGTCAATCGTGAAGAATAAAACATGGGAGCTTGCCACACTTCCACCAAAACATAAAGCAATTGGAGTGAAATGGGTATTTAAGATCAAGAAAAATGCAAAAGGAGAAGTTGAGAAGTACAAGGCAAGACTAGTGGCCAAAGGCTACGCCCAGAGACATGGCATTGATTATGAAGAAGTATTTGCGCCCGTGGCTAGATTAGAAACAATAAGATTGATAATTGCATTCGCGGCTCACAACAAGTGGAAGATACATCAAATGGATGTCAAGTCTGCATTCTTAAATGGGTTCATAGAAGAAGAAGTCTACATTGAGCAACCCGAAGGTTACAAAGTCAAAGGGCAAGAAGGTAAAGTGTTGAGGCTAAGTAAGGCTCTTTATGGGCTTAAACAAGCACCAAGAGCTTGGAATAGTAGAATTGATCAATACTTCCAAGCTAATGGATTCGTGAAATGTCCGCAAGAACATGCTCTATATATCAAGAAAAATCATCAAGGAGACATACTGCTCGTGTGCATATATGTGGACGACCTCATCTTTACAGGTAATAACATGACGATGTTTGATGAATTTAAAAAAGTCATGACAAAGGAGTTCGAGATGACTGACATTGGGCTTATGAGTTACTATCTTGGCATCGAGGTGAAACAAATGGATGATGGTATATTCATCACTCAAGAAGGATACACGAGAGAAGTACTCAAGAAGTTCAACATGGAAGACTCTAAACCTGTAAGTACACCTGTTGAAAGTGGACTAAAGCTATCAAGGTATGATAAAGGAAAATTGATTGATCCAACTTACTTTAAGAGTCTTGTGGGGAGCTTAAGATACTTAACATGTACAAGACCAGATATTCTCTTCGGTGTTGGACTTGTTAGTCGATTCATGGAGGCCCCCACAACAACTCATTTGAAGGCTGCAAAAAGGATTCGTATTGGGGTTGTTTTACTCTTCATCTGATGAGTTTAAGCTGGTTGGATATTCTGATAGTGATTGGGGTGGAGATATTGATGACCGCAAGAGCACAACTGGGTTCGTATTCTACATGGGAAACACCGCTTTCACATGGATTTCAAAGAAGCAATCGATCGTCACTCTATCCACTTGTGAAGCCGAGTACATTGCAGCAACATCAAGTGTGTGTCATGCAATTTGGCTCCGCTACATATTGCAAGCTCTCAGCATGTCTCAAGAAGAAGCAACAACAATATTTGTGGACAACAAGTCAGCTATTGCATTAGCAAAGAATCCAGTGTTTCATGATCGAAGCAAGCACATAGACACTCGATATCATTTCATTCGAGGAAAGATAGCGGAGAAGGAAGTTCAAGTAGAGTATGTGAAGACTCAAGACCAAGTTGCTGATATTCTCACAAAGCCACTCAAGCATGATGTCTTTGCAAAGATGCGAAATCTACTTGGTGTTGCTAAGTCAAGTTTAAGAGGGGATGCTAGAAATTAAACTTGGCTTAGCCCAATAATTGGGTCCATTAGATGTTAACTTATTGGGCTAGAAGTTGTATGATAATTAATAAATTAGCTAGCCCATAAGATAGACTTAGAAAGATTTAGAGTAGTTAATGTACCTAAACAATTCTAGATTATTCCTAAGCTAGAATCCTATAGAATATTCTAGAAGGTTAAGGAAGTAGGAGTGTCTAGAAGGATCCTATGAGACCTATAAATAGAGCACTCCTCACTCATTTGTAAAGCAAGCCAAAAGCTCCAAATCAATACAAGTTCCAAGTTCTTCTAAAATCACCTCTCTCTAAAATTCTCTCTTCCACACACAATCACCCAAATATAATACTCATCAACTACTTTCTTCCAACAAAGTGGTATCAGAGCCATCAATCCTTTCAAGAAAAATGAATTCCAACGACTTAGTTCCATTCCAATTTCCTCGTCTCACTAAAGATAACTACTCTAGTTGGTGCATTCGCATGAAAGCCTTGCTTGGATCTCAAGATGCATGGGAGATTGTTGAGAAAGGTTATGAGGAACCTCAAGATGATGCTACTTTAAATCAATCCCAAAGGGATAGTTTCCAAAAGAGTAGGAGGAAGGATCAACAAGCTCTCACTCTCATATATCAATGCTTAGACGAGGCCATGTTCGAGAAGGTTTCAAATGCCACCACTTCTAAAGAAGCATGGGAGATACTATATAACTCTTTCAAGGGAGTTGACAAGGTGAAGAGAATTCGTCTTCAAACTCTTAGAGGTGAGTTCGAACAACTTAAAATGAAATATTCGGAATCAATATCCGACTATTTCTCTAGAGTGTTAGTAATTGTAAATGAGATGAAGAGGAATGGTGAGGAACTAAAGGACATAACGGTGATTGAGAAAATCCTTCGCTCTCTCACCAAAGACTATGATTATATTGTGGTGGCCATAGAAGAGTCCAAGGATTTAGAGTCCATGACCATTGATCAACTTATGGGCTCACTACAAGTCCATGAAGAAAGAGTTGTGAGAAATAAATCAGATGAATCATTGGAGCATTCTCTTTACTCCAAACTCTCTTTTAAAGAAAGAGGGGAGAATAGAGGTGAAGAAAGAGGGCAACGAGGTCGTGGTTATGATCGAGGACGTGGTGCACGTGGAAGAGGTGGTCGAGGTCGTGGTTATACAAACTTCAACAATGAAGAAAGAATTCAATATACGTAAGCATCTAGAGGCCGTGGGAGAGGAAGCAAACCACAAAGGTACGAGAAGTCTCAACTAAAGTGTCATAATTGCAATAAATATGGCCACTATGCATATGAATGCAAGCGCTCTAATCATGTGAAAGAAGAGGCCCATCTCATGGAGATGAATAATGAGGTAGAACTTACCTTGTTGATGGCAAATCATGAAGAACAAACAAAGAAGAGCACGTGGTATTTAGATACCGGAGCTAGCAACCACATGACGGGAGATAAAAGTATGTTCGTGAAGGTAGAACAAACTCAAGGTCATGTTACTTTTGGAGATGAGTCTAAAGTCATGGTGAATGGTAAAGGTAACGTTCTAATCCATCTAAACGATGGAAGTCACCAATTCATTTCCGATGTTTACTATGTGCCCAACTTAAAAACAAATATTCTAAGTATGGGACAACTCTTAGAAAAGGACTATGATATTCACTTAAAGAATCGTAGTCTTTCTCTACGAGACAATAATGGAAGACTAGTTGCTAAAGTGACGATGACTAGAAACCGAATGTTCTTGCTTGACATTCAAAGCGATCAATCCATATGCTTAAAAAGTTGCTTGAAAGACGAGTCATGGATTTGGCACTTAAGATATGGGCACTTAAACTTTGGTGGCTTGAAAATGCTATCATCCAAAGGCATGGTGAAAGGCTTGCCCTTCATCAATCATCCTGATCAGCTATGCGAAGGTTGCCTATTTGGGAAGCAATCAAGGAAACCATTCCCTAAAGAAGTTACCTCAAGAGCTAAGGAACCATTGGAGTTAGTCCATACCGACTTATGTGGTCCTATTACTCCATGTTCACATGGTAAAAGTAAGTACTTTCTCACTTTCATCGATGATTACTCAAGAAAAACATGGGTATATTTCCTTAAACAAAAATCTGAGGCCTTTGAAGCATTCAAGAAATTTAAGGCTCTTATTGAGAAAGAAAGTGGGTACACTATCAAAGCCATGAGATCAGATCGGGGTGGAGAGTTCACATCAAAGGAGTTTAATCAATTTTGTGAAGATAATGGCATCCGCCGTCCCATGACTGTCCCACGAACACCACAACAAAATGGTGTTGCCGAAAGAAAGAATAGGACGATCCTCAACATGGCTCGAAGCATGCTAAAAACAAAGAATATGCCTAAAGATTTTTGGGCTGAAGCTGTGGATTGTGCTGTCTATCTTCAAAATCGCTGCCCCACGAAGAGTCTCGATGGAAAAACTCCACAAGAAGCATGGCATGGAGGTAAACCTGGAGTCTCACACTTGAGAGTATTTGGATGCATTGCATATGCGCATGTACCCGATCAGACTAGGTCAAAACTTGACGACAAGAGTGAGAAGTTTATATTCATTGGATATGATAAACACTCAAAAGGGTACAAACTCTACAATCCGGATTTGAAAAAGCTTATAATAAGTCGTGATGTGGAGTTTGATGAAGAAGGCTTATGGGATTGGAGCATTGGTGACAAAGAAGATTATAGTCTCTTGCCTCCCATGGAATATGAAGAAGAAGTTGAAGAAAATCATGAAAATACAACTCCTCCACCATCTCCCACTCAAGCTCAAGCTTCATCACCAAGTTCGGATGAAAGAGAAATACCACGCATGAGAAGCATTGAAGAGCTTTACGAGGTAACACAAAATTTGAACTCAAATGATGAACTTACACTCTTTTGTCTATTTGGTGATTGTGAGCCACTAAGTTTTCAAGAAGCCACAAGAAACAAGAAATGGAGAGATGCAATGGATGACGAGATCAAGTCAATCGTGAAGAATAAAACATGGGAGCTTGCCACACTTCCACCAAAACATAAAGCAATTGGAGTGAAATGGGTATTTAAGATCAAGAAAAATGCAAAAGGAGAAGTTGAGAAGTACAAGGCAAGACTAGTGGCCAAAGGCTACGCCCAGAGACATGGCATTGATTATGAAGAAGTATTTGCGCCCGTGGCTAGATTAGAAACAATAAGATTGATAATTGCATTCGCGGCTCACAACAAGTGGAAGATACATCAAATGGATGTCAAGTCTGCATTCTTAAATGGGTTCATAGAAGAAGAAGTCTACATTGAGCAACCCGAAGGTTACAAAGTCAAAGGGCAAGAAGGTAAAGTGTTGAGGCTAAGTAAGGCTCTTTATGGGCTTAAACAAGCACCAAGAGCTTGGAATAGTAGAATTGATCAATACTTCCAAGCTAATGGATTCGTGAAATGTCCGCAAGAACATGCTCTACATATCAAGAAAAATCATCAAGGAGACATACTGCTCGTGTGCATATATGTGGACGACCTCATCTTTACAGGTAATAACATGACGATGTTTGATGAATTTAAACAAGTCATGACAAAGGAGTTCGAGATGACTGACATTGGGCTTATGAGTTACTATCTTGGCATCGAGGTGAAACAAATGGATGATGGTATATTCATCACTCAAGAAGGATACACGAGAGAAGTACTCAAGAAGTTCAACATGGAAGACTCTAAACCTGTAAGTACACCTGTTGATCGAGGACGTGGTGCACGTGGAAGAGGTGGTCGAGGTCGTGGTTATACAAACTTCAACAATGAAGAAAGAATTCAATATACGTAAGCATCTAGAGGCCGTGGGAGAGGAAGCAAACCACAAAGGTACGAGAAGTCTCAACTAAAGTGTCATAATTGCAATAAATATGGCCACTATGCATATGAATGCAAGCGCTCTAATCATGTGAAAGAAGAGGCCCATCTCATGGAGATGAATAATGAGGTAGAACTTACCTTGTTGATGGCAAATCATGAAGAACAAACAAAGAAGAGCACGTGGTATTTAGATACCGGAGCTAGCAACCACATGACGGGAGATAAAAGCATGTTCGTGAAGGTAGAACAAACTCAAGGTCATGTTACTTTTGGAGATGAGTCTAAAGTCGTGGTGAATGGTAAAGGTAACGTTCTAATCCATCTAAACGATGGAAGTCACCAATTCATTTCCGATGTTTACTATGTGCCCAACTTAAAAACAAATATTCTAAGTATGAGACAACTCTTAGAAAAGGACTATGATATTCACTTAAAGAATCGTAGTCTTTCTCTACGAGACAATAATGGAAGACTAGTTGCTAAAGTGCCGATGACTAGAAACCGAATGTTCTTGCTTGACATTCAAAGCGATCAATCCATATGCTTAAAAAGTTGCTTGAAAGACGAGTCATGGATTTGGCACTTAAGATATGGGCACTTAAACTTTGGTGGCTTGAAAATGCTATCATCCAAAGGCATGGTGAAAGGCTTGCCCTTCATCAATCATCCTGATCAGCTATGCGAAGGTTGCCTATTTGGAAAGCAATCAAGGAAACCATTCCCTAAAGAAGTTACCTCAAGAGCTAAGGAACCATTGGAGTTAGTCCATACCGACTTATGTGGTCCTATTACTCCATGTTCACATGGTAAAAGTAAGTACTTTCTCACTTTCATCGATGATTATTTTTGGAGTTAGTCCATACCGACTTATTTTTGAAAACCCACTTCGTGCCAATTATTGTCTTTCTCTGAGGCCTGGGTACCAGTGACCATACATCCAGTCTGTCAAACTGATTGAGTTCATCTTGCATAGCAATCACCCAATCTGGATCAAGTAGCGCATCGGAGACTTTTGATGGTTCTGACTGGCTAAGGAAGCATGCGAAATGGTATTCATTCATCGTTGCGGATCTTGTGCGCACACCTTGACTCGGATCACCTATTATCTGTTCAACGGGATGTGCTCTTGTCAACTTCCTCTCATGAGCTAGAGGAGTTGGAGTAATGATTGGTTGATCCGAATCCGAGGTTGAAGGCTCTGGAGCAGCTGTGGTGTGTAATGGAGATGATTCTGGACACGTAGCAAAGCCGTGATCATCCACACCTCTGGGATTGGTTTGAGGGGTTGATGGTGTGGATGGTACATCGTCTGGTCCTGTGAGGAGCGGAATCTCTGCTGTTGGAGTTGATGTTGAAGCTGGAGTGCATGCAGGAGGTGGAGGTTGTGAGTTCTCGTAGAAGTTTCTGAAGAGAGAGTCGAGAATCACATCTTCGTGTTCAGTGTTTGGTTCAGCTTTATCAGAAGCTACTGGTACAACATTTGATGGATCAGTCTGTAGATGTTCGATCGCGAAGTCTGCCATTTCATAGAATGTAACATTTACACTCTCGATGACAGTACGCTTGTCTCTGAGGTAGACTCTGTAAGCTTTGGATTGCAGTGAGTAGCCAATAAACACGCCTTCTCTGGCTTTGGGATCCAGCTTACTTCTTTCTGTCCGATCATTTAGTATGAAGCACTTGCAGCCAAAAACCTTGAAGAAAGAGATGTTGGGAGTTCTGTTGAATAGGATTTCATATGGAGTCTTGTCGAAGCGTTTATGGATGGATGTTCTGTTCTGAGTGAAGCACGCAGTATTGATTACCTCTGCCCACATGAAGTGAGGCAGTCTGGATTGGATTAACATGGTGCGTGCTGCTTCAACAAGGGTTCTGTTCTTTCTCTCAACAACTCCGTTCTGTTGGGGAGTTTTAGCTGCTGCAAATTGCTGAGTGATACCGAGTGATTCATAGAACTCAGTGAGAGTTTGATTTTTGAACTCGGTACCATTGTCAGTTCTAACAATTCGAACACTGTGCTGTAGCAGTTTCTGGATGGTTCTGATGAAGGTCATAATATTTTCTGCAGCCTCGCCTTTTGAACGGAGAAATTTTGTCCATGTATACCTAGAGAAGTCATCAACGATCACCAGAGTGTATTTGCGACCATTGATGCTTTGGACTCTCATTGGTCCACACAGATCCATGTGAATTAGCTGCAACTGATGTGTAGATGATGGTTCGGTTTTTGACTTGTGGGAGCTTCGCGTCATTTTGCAGGCACTACAATGATTTTCAGCGGAAGACTTTAGCAGAGGAAGCCCCTTGACAAGTTTCTTGGAGGACAAGGTTGATAGATGTTTGAAGTTCAGATGGGAGAGACGTCTGTGCCATAGGTTGTTCTGTTCAGTTGAAGCTTTGGACAACAGACAGATGGAAGTGGTGGATTGGACGCTTTTCAGATCAATAATGTACAGATTTGATGTTCTGTAACACATTAATAATGTATTCCCTGTGCTGTCAAGAACACAGCATTGTTTTGCAAAGAACCTCACTTCCATTCCGCTGTCACAGAATTGCCCTATGCTCAGTAAGTTGTGTTTGAGCCCTTTGACAAATGAAACGTCTTTTATAGTGACACTGGCACAGACGACGTCCCCATACCCAAGAATAGGAGATGAGGCGTCATTCCCGAATTTGACATTGCCTCCGTAGCAGTTGGTGTAGTTGCTCAAAAGGTGCTTTATTCCGGTCATGTGGGTTGAGCATCCTGAGTCTAAGTGCCACACATGACCGTCCTGCAAAACAATCAAACAGGTTTAGGTACCCAACTTGGAGTGGGTCTTTCCTTATTATCAAGAAACACCTTTCTAAATCTTGCTTTGAGCTGTGATCCAAGGTCAGCAGCTCTTTCAACAAAAGTTCTTTCTCTTGTGGGCTTTCTAATAGCCAGATCTGCTTTTGCAGTGGGTCTGGTTTTTGGAGCCCACTTAGCAGTTTCCATTTTGGTGGGTCTTATGTTGTGAACCCACCTTTCCATTTTAGTTCTGGTGGGTCTGAATTTGGGGACCCACCTTTCTGTTTCAGTTTTGATGGGTCTTCGATTGGGGGCCCACCTTTCTGTTTCAGTTTTGATTGGTCTTCGATTGGGGACCCACCTATCAGTTTCAGGTTTGGGAGGAGAGTAGACATGTGCTTTGTGATTGAATGGTTGTTTCTTAAGTTTGGTTTTGAAAATCTCTTCTATAGAAAGCCGATTAAGATGTTTCCTTGAATGAACTTGAAGAGCATATTTCATATCAGGAATACAAAACGTTCCCTTAGAAGTTCTTTTCTTGGTTTCTCTTTCGGGTTTGAGCTTTCTGTGAGGCTTTGCTTTAACAACATTCACATCACATTCATAATTATGGGGGTCTGGAACAGAATAACCATAAGCAACACTTGTATTATTAATAGAACGATGTCTAGAAGATGTCTCAGAAATATTCAGCTTGGGACTCAAGACTGAACTACTAGAAGTTTGTTTTGTAGAGACAGAATTACAATTAACTTTAGAGTAAAAAATAGAACTAGATCTAGGACTGGCATTATTCTCAAAAAATTTCTTTTTGCCTTCTGCGATTTCCTTCCTCTTTTTCCTCCACTCATTCTTCTCTTCTCCTTCCTTCTTCACTTCATTTCCTGTAAACAAAGGAGAAGAGAGATGAGTGGACGAACCTTTTAAAGCATTGTTTTTCTCATGTGAGGTGTGTGAGCTGTCAGGCTTAGTTGTAGAAGGGTCTATGTTAGCATGATACTGCTCACTCAAATCATTGAACTTTTGAAGAAGTTCCTGCCAGTTGCGCTCAAAACCTTTCTTTTCAGTTTCAAATCTCTCTCTCTCGTTATCAAGAGTTTTCTGTAGGTTTTTGAGCTTTTGAGCCATGGGAAATATACAGGGTTCCTCACCAGTTTTAGCAATACCTACTCTTGGGGGAGGGTCTAGAGGATGTCCTATATGAGGAATATCTTTAGCATAAGGGTCAAGACATTCACTAAAGCAGGAAGTAGGTTTTTCTTGTGAAAGTTGTTTTTCATTAACAGAGGGATAATCACAAGAAATCGTAGACTTTGGATTCTTTCGCTTTTCTTCTTCTGCTTCAGCGTTTTCTTCATCACTTCGAAAATACATTTTCTCGCCAAACCCTAGTCCCATGTAATCTTTGTTATAGATTTGAAGACAATTAACTTTCTTTAGATTACGTGGGTTGGTTATGCCTAGTCCCATTTTAGGATTGTAAAATCGGTCATCCTTTTGTTTGCTGTTAAGCAGAAAAACTGTTTGTTCTGATTGACCTCTCTTAGCAGCCAGGTCCTCTAGTTCTTTTACTTTATTTAAAAGTGTTCTTCTCTTGTTATGCAAAAAATCGCATTCAGTCTTTGTTGTGCTTTTTTCTCGTTCACTATCCTCAAATTTCCTAGTTAATTCAGCTATCTTAAGTTCAAAGCTTTCAAAATCTGAGGACACCTTTTTGACCTGATCTTTTTCAATTTCAAGTTGAACACTTAAGGAAGACTTTTGGTCTAGATTCTGTTTCAGTACCCTGTGATTATTGTCTAGTCTCTTCTTTAGTTCTTTGATTAGATTGTCCTT